ATGCCAACTATCTTTAAATTCTATGTTAATAAAATTTCTCATAATTCTCTATAAAAAAGGGAGATCGTTCGAAAGAATTTCAGATTTCGCAAACGAGTCTGTGATTTTGTTACCATCTTTGCCAGAATGCTCGAACATTTTTACATCAGTCTTTTCCAACATCGACACAAACACATTTTTAATATCTTTAGTATTACGCATTAAACTTTTATAAGATGCTAAAGCTTGCCAAACACTGCGACTATTAAAAAAAACATTGTTTTGGAAAATTTATAAATTGAGCACAATATAAAATGATTTGCAAAAAAGAAACAAATCTGTAAAAGGAAGCCCAAACAAATTTGATAGAGAGAATCAAGTAGAATTGTAAAACTAAAGTTTTTATTGGTGTGGTATTAGTTTTAGAAAGACTGTGAAATTTTTTGAGACTGATAGATCAAGGCAGAAAAATATTCTGTTCAATTTTTCGTGTATAAAACAAGGAATTAACAATCACAATGCCATCTCTCAATAACAAAGATACTTAAATGAATATAATTTGCAAGAAAAGAAAATCTGAAAGATTTCAGATTTTAAATTACGCGCTCAAGGGCGCTTTTTTAACGTTTTCCGTGTTACCTTTATTGATTAAATATCGTGTTTTTCGCACTTAAACCATAAAATTCAGTTCAACAGCAATATCGCAAAATAATTTTAAAATGATCATATCTTTAGAATTTCCGCCTCGCGCGCTGGAGATAAAAATGCTTTTTTTTGGGGGGGGTACAGTTCGTTGAGTTTCTTAATCAAAAACTCAAATGCTTTACAAAATATGAAATAGATAATAAAAGAAGTTCCAAATTTGGGCTTCGAGATGCTCATATTCGGGTGGAGACGTACGTTATTCAGAACTGGATGGCTCTAGGTACCGTTGTTTCATCACAATGCGAGAAACATACATACATTTATGCAGATTCTTCGTTATTTAATTTCTTTAAATATAATGCAGGGCTCTAATATTGGGTGGCAAGAATTTAAAGAGTGATTCGCCGCTTAGTGAATCAACGCAAACTGCCTAAACGAAATTAATAATCCTTCTGAATAAATTGCCCCTTTGGTCTAAAAAGGCTTGCAAAAATGAAAAAGGAATTAAAGCATTAACGAAATTTAGAAAATTTTGTTTAATTTGGAGATTCAAGATTAAAGATTATAGATGAGTATTAAAGAGAGTATAGTTAATGGAAATCTTATTAAAATTTTTATGGTCAGTTTGAGAGGAATGCATTTAACAAAGTGGGACCAAACGTGGTTATCTGTAAAGAATTTCTTAGTTTTCATATCTGCGATAAATTTCATTTTTTAAATAAAAAATCGAGAATTTTGCAGATTTTCCTTACTTTTTTGCCGTTTTCAAGCATACATTTTATTATTAAAAGAGGTCATTATGTAAAATACATGCTTTTTCAAATCTGTTTGGCTGTAGCTAGCTATAGAATTCTAGTTTAGTTTATATACATTTGTACTATTTAAATGGAAGAAAAGCCTTATTATCTCTTAATAAGCATTTGCTTTATGGAAGAATATACATTAAAAATACCATTTGAAGGCTTCAGTTTAAATTTTCGTGGTAAGTTTACGCAGTGCAATTCTTAATACTGAAGGAATACTAGAAAAAAGACAATACAGTCATTTTGTGTACGGATAAGGAAAAAATGAAATTTTTTAATTCGTACGTGAATTCATTAGATTTTCTATAGCTGTATAATTTAACATAATAGCTTCTTTTTCTAGTTTAAAGAAATTTCCACTTACAAAATTATTTAAGATAATTTAGTCAAATGTACCTCTTCATATATGAAATAAGTTACTAACTACATTTAGAAAATTGAATTTTCGCGAATTCATTTCCAAAATGGGATTTTTAATATTTTGCTAATAAAGAATCTCGTATTGATTAATAAGTCAGTTTTAGATATTCGAAGCTAGCTTATGTGTTACAGGCTTTCAGAAGTTTCAGTAAATTATCACATTTATTCAGTTAATAATTGTTCTGAATGATTAATGTTTTGGTTAATAATTTCAGAAACATACTAATATTTATCCTGAGTGAGAATTTTCCAGTCTTAAAATCTTAAAATTCCAAACATTTAGAGCATTTAAAATTCCAAACATTTCGAACATTTAGAATTCCAAAATAATTTATCAGAAAGAGAATTTAAGACCTTTACAAATTTTCAAAATTCGAAAAGTACAACTTAAAAGCTTTCACTTTCTGTAGAACAAAATGTTGATGCATTTGAATCACAATTTTGTGCGCTGTAAGAACTTATTCACTATCTCGCTATGCACTTTAGTAGTGGTAGGATACGAATTTCTTACTCTGGGTGTTTCGGATGGAAATCCGTAAATTTATAATTATTGTGATTGATTCGTTTGTTGGTTAATAATTTCACAATGGATGCTGAAGTTCTGGTGCCATTGACGAACTTAGTTTTATCTCATCTATGATTACCCATATAGCCATTCCGGTATTCTCTTCGACATGGAGAAATACATCTGCAGCATTATCATTTTATTAAGTTTGATAGCTGAATTTGATGTCTTTAAAGAAAATGATATCCACTTAATCCACAGTAGCAATCTACAGTAACTAGCACTTGGAAAATATTAAAAAGACAGCAATCTTTAGTCATATTGTAGTAGCTTTCCGTCTATTAGTAGTTTTGAAAGAGGCTGTTCACACATTTTTTAGACGATGTATATTGTATTCACAAAACTAAATTACATGAACTTCATGTGTTTTAAATGTTCTGTTTGACATCCCTTATTCTGAACTATCTTTCGACACCGCAATTTCCAGGATAATAATGCCTTTTGAAGTGGCAGAAGAGGTATTCTATCCCATTCCTCTCGAACGGCTTTGCAGAGTCCTGTTAGGGGTTTGGGACAACGTTTGGATAATGCAGTTTTTAAAAGTCCGAAAGCACAAAAATCCATAGGTGACAGATCGGGAGATTTAGTAGGGATATCAGTGAAGGGTAGGCTTTGATACCAGTTTTTTGTTCCATTTCTTTTAGGAAATTTACAGTGCATTTTGATGTGTGACTGCTAGCTTTGTCCTGATGGAGTCTCACAGATGGATGGCACTGTGGGTAAAGCGATGGTATTTCATTCAGAAAAATGGGCGATAAAATATGTTCCTGATAGTATTTGGAGTTAATCTTGACATTTTTTTCACTCTCTTTATTTTTCACTTGCCATTATGAGAAAAACCAGCAACAATCATGATACCCTTAGAAAAACTTTCTTTCGATTCTTTGAACCATGTACTTAAATTTTTTCTCCCCTTTTATGATAATAAATGGCTCTTTATTGTTACAATAAGTTAAATACACCCATGCTTCATCTATTGTGACAATTGTTTTCCATTTTTCTTATTTTTCTTTGGATAAGTGTTTCTCATATAGAATTCTGGAGCGTGTCCTGCGTTGAGCGATATGCTTTGGAAGAAGACGATGCACATTGCGTTTTTCCACTTTCATAAGTTTTAAATTTTTAACGTTTATCATTTTGTTTACAGTGGACACAGAGCATTTTAATGATTTTGCAACTGTCCTTTGACTAGGGTTTTTTTTTTTTTAATATTAAACAACGTACCTTTGCAATAGTCGAAGATGTCCATTTTTTCCTTGGATACTTGTTTGAAATTTTTGTCCCACTTGAGGCTCCAATTTGACGTTTTTTTTTCCTTTCTTGTTGACGATATTACCTATCGATGCTTTAGATATCACAAAACTATGACTCTCACATCGTTTTTGGATAACGGAGTATGCATATTTCTCTTCGGAAAGATCGTACATGTAGCCTTCGAACCACTGTTTTGTTGAATTCGCCATTTTGAATAAAATGAATTCGCCATTTTGAATAAAAACTTTCAAGCCACAGACGATAATTTTGACTTTTAAAAACATAGTACAATTGCAATTACTTCTTTGCAGCAAACGATCTTTTATTAATTACCGCTTACCAAAATCGTTAAAAAAATGTGCGAACAGCCTCTTTATACACATATTCAAGGTGTGAGACACACAAAAAGGACTGATCCAATAAATCATTGCACCTACAGAATCATTTCTCCGTAGCCCTTCACGAGATTCTCCATTTTTGCCTGAACCTCTTCAGCTGAGGTAAAATGGGTTCCCTTTAAGTAAGATTTAACTTTAGGAAATAAAAACGTCGCATGGAGCCAAATCAGGTGAATAAGGATGCCCCATCACATTAATGATTTTGCTGGTCAGAAGCTGCTTGACAGGTAGGGCCGTGTGAGCGGGTGCATTTTCCTGGTGCTACAGCCATCCATCAGTCCACAACTGTGGCCCTTTTTTTTTCCTATTTTTTTCACGAAGTCTTTTTAGTACTTCAATGTAGTAGTGTTGATAAACAATCTGTCCACTGGGATCCCATTTAATGGGCGCCCAACACGTTCATCATCTTACACTCTGTCCCTTCCCCCTGAAAACCTCTTATGCCATTCAAACACACGTGCATGATACAACTCATCTCCATTAGCGTCGGTTAATATTTGAAATGTTTCCTCCGTGGCTGATTTCTTAAGTTTCACAAGAAACTTGATGTTGATTCGCTGTTCCGTTTTTACATTAGACATTTTTTTCCGGAGAATGCAATTGCATGTGTTCACTCAATGACGCAGTTTCCCACTGGCATGGTCGGTTAAGTCGAAACTAGCCGCATGAATAGAGAAGGTGTGTGGCATGACGTCACCCAAACAGTTGTTGTCAACTCCACTCTGTTTCCAAGCCACACACTTAGTCTCTTTTGTGTGTGTGTGTGTCGCACCTCGTAGTCATGAAATATGATTTAAAAATTTACTGAACCAATAAAATTGCATAAATACACATAAATTAGAAGTAATATTTTTATTCCAATTATATGTATTTAATTCGTACAATTGAAACAGATTAATAATATTTTATACATTGCAAATGTCTCTTATTTTGCAGGTAGTCGTGACTTCTGTTGTGTCCATTTCTCTCGCCGAACCTAAGTATGAACCCCGTTATCTCTCTCAAGAAGTTGAAAATTCAGAAAATCGAGAATACCATCCTCATCCTGAGCCAAGAGGATACAAGCTTTACGATGTATATACTAAACCATATGAACCACAGTACCAGTCTATAGAACCTCAGTACAAAAACACTGAGCCTACGCATTACCAAGTTGATTCAAAACCAGCCCCTGGTTCACCTTATCCTCAGCCCAATCAACCACTTTATAATCAGCCGCCTCAACAAATAACATCCATTCAAAAACCGCAAGTGCCTCATGCTGATCATCAGCGGATTTCTTACAGCCAACCACCAAAGGACGTTTACATCCAAATAGAGCAGCCACAAGCAACTCTGTATCATAATCAAGGTCAACATGAGTATGAACCATCTGAGATTTCTCATTATCAAAGGGCTCCTGTAGCTGCACATCAAGGACCTCAAGAGTTACAGTCTATTCAGACTGCAGAACCAAAGTATGTGCAACCTATAGAGAGACAATACGTGCATCCTGATAAGCCTAAATATATTCCAGTTGAAGAGCCCAAACATACTCAGGTTATTCAGCCTCAGCAGCCACATTCTCCAGCACAACCCTATGATCCTAAACTGCCCCAATATTTTACCATGTATGAAAAACGTGTTATTCAAGATCCTACAGACAAATATGGTAAAGGGCCATGGCGATATCTTACGTACGGTCATGGTATCACTTACGGTAGCAAAGAACCTGGTAAAGTGTTTGAGAAAGGTTACGGTTACATCAGAGCGTTGGGCAGGGATCATTGCAAACTGCCCGAGCATCTGTGCCCACCCAAAGACGATAAACCTTTTGAGTACGAAGGCAGGAAAGAGCCTTACTTTGGATACCGGCCTCACTAATCAAGCAATTGGACGCATTAAAGAGGAACTGCTGAATGAAAACTTGACTATTTAAGAGAGATTTTCAGAAATTTAATATTTCTTCGTTATTCTTTTCTTTCCCTGCGTAGCTCAAGACAATTTCTTTTCACTGTTCATCAGTAACAAAATATACTAACTTCTGAAATAATGGAATATCGAGAGAGTGGTAAATCCATTTAATTCTTTTAGCATAAACTCATAAAAATGGCAAAAGTTTTAAGTTATTTAAACTCTTGATAAATATTGGTAACATGTCTAATATAGTTTCATACTGATGATAGTGACTGAGAATCGTATTGCAATGTTACACTCTCAGCTTTTTTCCAGCTTCCTCGTTTAGGAATAAAACGTCTGTGGCCTTCGTTCTCCAGCTATAGTTAAGTTTTCAACGAAGGATAAAGCCAATCTTTTTACAACTGTGTTCCTGTATATTCATAATTGAATAAAATGTGTTAGATGTTGAATGTGCAAGGTGTCAGTTATATTTTATGTGCTACAGAAATAGCACAAATTATAATAAAAATAATAATTAAGTTTTTGGTGTTTTATTTCACATTCTGGACAGACTGGAGCAAAGACTTCATACTTTTGCGTTTTCATTTGTGCAGGTAATTAATATATTAATTTGATTACTGAGTAAATTTCTTTATGGAAAGTTTCCTCAAACTAGAGCAGTATGTTAGATCTTTTTCTAACTTCTTGGAAGAAACTCCCATGAATGGCGACTCAGCAGACGTCATAACAGACAGCTATATTACACGCATTTTGAATTATCATGTTTTAAGACGATAAATTCTTCTAAAGCACTACTTACTGTTTTAAATTAAATAAGATGCCCGTATGGAAACTGCAAATAGTGTCATTAAAATTAAACGGAAATTAAAATTATGCATAATTTTGTGTTCAATTGGAAAATTACAATGAATTCCTTAAGCAGAATCTGATTTTATAATTAGTGTATGTTATTTCTACTTCATTGTACGAAGTATGTTAGTGCTTTGTCCTATGTGTTGAAGCACTGTAATGAATAATATAACTTAATGCATTGTGCATTATCTGTACCAGAATATTAGTACTATATCCTATGTGTAAAATAACTGTGTACCAACCTAATGATGCATATCATGTAATTGTTTAATTCTCTTCAATAAATGCCCGAAAAGGGCGCTCAGGTCCCCTGTGGAAGGGGCAGTACGATAGAGAGGTTGTGCATGGGGACTATACCATTTTTGTCAATGGCGATGGGGTTGTGCCTCCTGTCCTGTGTATCGAGGAAGGTGAGAATACGACGTGCAACATGTAGTCTTGCGTTATCTTGTTGGAAGGTGGCGTTTGGCAGGACTGGAAGATAGGATGTACCGCTCTGCGTTCAAATTACGATCGCTCCGAACTAGAGATGTGAGTGTCATGTACCCAATGGTTGCCCAAGCCATCACACCAAGTACAGGCTCCTATGCCTATAACGAATGCAAGCAGGCGAAGTGCAGTCTCCTCGGAGCCTCCAGACACGTACACGGCCATTAGAATACTGCAGGCAGAACCGGGGCTCGTCTGAAAAGATGACCTTGTGCAACTCCTGTATCCAGCTTTGTCGCTGGGGGCACCAGAAAGGCCATCCCTCTCTATGCTGCATTCTCAAGGGTGTGTATGTGTATGTGATTATACACAGGCTATCTGCCTAAAGGTAGGGATGCCTTCGTGGAGGACCTTCTAAGGGAAGCTGGCTCGTATACACGTTACACATGGGGAAAACCACGAAAACGCCCATGCAGCCAGCCCGTTCACGGGATTCAAACCTCGGACCGAACTACCAGTGTTCAGCGACTTTACCATATTCGAATGACAGTGGCTGGATGTTGAGCAGTGCGACGAGCGATAAAAAAAAAAAAAAAGATGAGATGATGATCTATACTCTCAATAGGCAACGATCCTTTTATGCAGCGCTTCAGATGCTGTTTCTCTCTCCTGCGTCGTCTAAATGCGTTGAAATATTAATCATTTACATATCCCAAACAACTTCTTCCTTTCATGTGATTTTGACTTTAGTCAGATCATTCCTTCCTGACGCTGCAATTTTAATGTCCAGCAGTGTAAAATCTTTAAATGCATTTTCTGAGAAACGGTTTTTCGTTAATTTTGTTTTCGGTTACTTTCATCTCTCAAAATGTATTCATAATATTGAAATGATATTTTGTCAAAATGTTTTATTCATTTTTAGCTATGTTCTATAGCAAAACCTAATCTCTCTGCCTTTATTTATTGATTTTACTGAGAGTTTTTGTTTTTGTTTTTGTTTTTTAAAGAAAAGAGGATTTATTTTTGCTTTAATTTTAGCTTTTGTACCAAGTTTGGAATATTTTAATAAATATTATAAGCACTGCAAATACTTTTCTACAGAACACAGGTAAGTATGCTATTTATATACTGCGTAAAAATTACTGAGATATAATTCATTGAAATCCATTTTAGGAGATGTGGCGTAAATGAAAATTTTCACTAAAATGTTCACTAAAATATTACCTATATTTTAAAAATTAATGAAAATTTCTGTAAAATCCCATTTAAATTCATAGTTTTATATCGCATCTTACTCAAAAACGTGTGTTTCATTCAACTTTCATGTATTTCAAGAAAAGTGTTTCGTATGTAGGCACTACCTTAAGGTAAAATTTTGGAAAGATAAATTGAGTTCCAGCAGAGGTTTTTATTATTAGATTTCAGTGATAACAGGATTATTAATCTTGTGCATGGTTGCCGTGAGCGATATACAGCAAGCATGCTTTTACACAATTTTAATATAAATAATTTTCTTAAATTTTCTGAAGGGGATTCATGTTTATTACGAAAGTTTCCCGCCACCGCAAATATCGTCTGCGCTAACAGTTCGCATTGCCGTGTTTAATCATATTTTGTCAAACAAATTTTGGCATTTGAAAGAAAGAGACTTGTTTTAGAATGGTGTGTTGTGAAATTTGTAACAAAAATCGTTACCATTAAGTACAAGGTGTCTGAAATGGAACTATCACACTACCAGACTAGAACCATCATTTACTTCCAGTTCTGTTGCAAAATGTCAGCTACAGAATGTCACCAAATCATCCATACACCTTTAGGTACTAATGTTGTGTCAAATGACACTGCGGAGGTTTGGCACCGAAAGTCCGAAAACAAGGACTATGACATTCAAGAAGCAGAGCGCTTTGGCCGGCACACTGATGTTGATGAGGCCCGCCTGCGTAATAACTTGGCATAAACTTGACGTAGAAGTTCAATCGTTCTGTACCGCATGAGCTGACTTAAGCAGATAAGGACAGCCGTGTTCGGGCTTGCACTAATCTGCTCGAATATCAAAGCAAGCGCAAAATTCTTGACCGGATCGTCATTTGTGGTGGAAATTGGATTTACTTCAACAACACAGGCCGAAAAGGGGGTTGGTCTGCGCCTGGTGGGCCAGTCGGTAGTGTCGCAAAGTGCAATTTGACTAACAAAAAGTTCAGGTGTTTTAATCTGGTGGGATTTCCGTGGTATTGTCCACAAGGATATTTGGAAAAAGGTAAAACCCTCAAGGTAAGGTGCTAGTCCGTGTTGCCGCTTCTGTCGAGGAAAAATGTCGAAGTGAGTTCCGGCGCAAAAAGGTAATGTTCCATGTGTACGGACTCGAATGGGATCTTTTGCCACACCCACCATATAGACCCTACATCGCTCTTGTGGACTTCTACCTTTGTTTCACCACCTGTAGCCACATCTTGAAGGGGCTATCTTCCATTCTAAAAACGAAACGAAGTTGATCTGGTTTTAGACTCGATACGAGACGAGTCCATGTACGATGTTTAAAGCTCCATTCGAGCCACATAAAGCTGTCTTCAATGGTAATTTCAGCAGTGGAACCTTGTATAGATTTCCTTCCTCTGCAGACAAAAACATAGTACTTGCATAGTAGGTATTCAAATGGTACATGCTGACACAGGTTGTTCTGCTGTAAAGCTACTTCCTGCACCAGCATTTTTCATGTTGCTAAGCAATTCATCCATGTGAACAATGTTTCTGTTCTCTCTTTTGCTGATATGAAAAGGTTGAGGCAAACATTCCTGTTGGTTAGTGTGTTGAAGCATATGGAAGCTTCCCCTCGCTTAGGAACAGCAGAAAAATACGTAATTTCTGTACTTAAAATTGCCTACTGTTGTTCTCCAGCTTTCTGATGCTTCTAGGTGGCATTGCTAGTACATTTGAATTGCACTAGAATGAAATTTGTACTAGCTCTGCAATCAGTTTGAATAATTCTTCGAATGTAAAATGCAATACTGAATTTAATAAAACTGGTTTTGAAGCAGACAGCACCTCCAAGTAGCAATATTGACTGTCATTTCATTACCTGAAGAAACAAAATATTTGGATGCTACATATAATAAAGCAGACGGCATTCAGTGCAGTACGTGAAAAATCAGCAACAAATAAGTAAAACACTGAAGCCATACCTTCGCCATTTCTTATTATTCCAGAAAAGTCTCAGGGAGACACAAATGCTTCTGATCAGAAAATGTTAAATAAGTTCATTCCTAGGCCTTCATCTAGACCAGATTTATTTAAACTGTGGGTTAGACACCCATGCGGGTCGCCAAAATTTTAGCAGTTTTTATATTTCTTTAACTTATTATAATTTTACAATTACCAAATATTTTCACACAATTTATCTAAAAATAGATAAAGGTAAGACAATACAGACAAACAAACAAACCAAACGCACAAAAAAAAAAAAAAAAAAAAAAAAAACTGATGTGTACACCACATGACTTCCTTGTACGGAATATTAAATTATACGCATTTTTTCTTGCATTTCATTTAAACTTATTGGACTAAATTAAATCTACTTCGCGGACAGCGCATAAACCACAATAGAATAAATGCATTCTTTAAAATTCACTCTAGTATTTATTCACCATAGCGACACTCTGGCGCTAGATTCACTTAATAGTATTATATTTCGTTCATATTATAACTCACAATGCACAAAATTTATATCATTTAAAGAATAGAATTATCTAAACGTCGCCACATGTTCTATTCAAATACTATAATAAAGCTAGAATGATGTATAAAAGAAATTAAGCAACCAAAACAAAAAGTAACACTTTTTCACAGACGATTGAGTATTTCTCATTCAATTAATTCAGTTCTCATTTCGCGAGAAGGCAAAAATACATAAAAACTCAAAATATCTATATTAAATATTACGAAGTAAATCTTAAACACTTATTTCCTCGAAAACATTCCAGAAAGGATTAAGCATGATTTAATCGGCAGTAATATACGAAGGCGTTACCTATGTTGTTGCAAAGCTAAGTTTCTCTAGATTGGCAACAAATCCACTAGTATGCTGTTTCAAATGTAAACAAATCTATGGCCGAAAAAAAAAAGGGCTTAGCAGCACCTAAATACCTTTAAAATTGTTGATAATTCTAAACATATTGCATACAGATTTACTAAAGGCATAAAAACCTTAACCGGAAGATAGAAACAACATAATTCAATCATTT